ATTTCAAGAACACAGTGTACAAGGTTTCCCAAATAATCTGCTTACTGTTGTGCCAAAGGGTGTGACCAGAAACCTGACAAGGTTTTCAAAATTGTGTTTGAAGTTCTCAGAGATTAAAACGCCACACCCGTCTTTTGTATCAAAACCACGGGTTCATGAATTTAACCTGTGAAAGATTCAAGAGACTTGTAACAATGGGAGAAGATAATAGCATGAAGAAGAGATAACCAGTACCTCACCTCATTACATCTTCATACAGGGGGTTTGAACTGTCTTTTAGCGTCACTGCATTCGTATTCCATGTTTCTGTTGAATGGTATGTATTTAGATTGCACTGAAATTTGGTGTAAAAAATAATCCTGATCGCCAGAGAAACCGTCCCCACAGTAATCACGATTGGGACCGTGTGAGCAGCAGCTTCCTGGCATTCCAATATGAAACTGTATCACCACACATACAGTGCTTTAGTTTTATTAGTTATATTCTCTTAAATTCAATTGATGTAAAATAAATGATATTTGTAGATTATTTTCTCTTATATATTTATTTATTGTTAAAATGTGTATCTGCTTGATCCTGTTTCTCTCTTTTTGCAAAGCTGAACCTTCAGAAACAAATTAACTACCTCCATCTAGTGGTGAAACAACTGCACTAACTTAATCCACCCCTGTTAGAGTTCACCCAAGGAACAATTTCTTTTGCATCTTTAAATCTAGTGGTTAAAGACATATTGGTCCGGAGCATTTTTTTTCCTCATCTAGTACGTATAAAACATTGGTTTTGTTTGTGTTTTTGTTTGTTTGTTATTAAAGTAAAAACTAAACAAAAAACTGTAAAATAACAAAAACAGTACTGATTATTGCTGACAGGTCCAAAATGTGTGGCGTAAAACGTTGTTAGTCTTTATAATCAGCAAATGTCCCTTCATAAGGTTAAGAAATGAGCTGCTGTGAGAAGACGAGCTGCTCATTTTAATAACCTGGTGAAAACATGATCTTATTACACATTAATAATAATGTTAATGAGTATATACATACATAACCTTAGCCTCCAGTTAGATGGTGATGCTATAATAATAATAATCAGGATAATCTCTGCCTCAGATTTGAAGAATGTATCTGATCAATGAGATTAGGACATACATATATTCTACAGTGACTGAAGGATTGAATCTCATTCAAACAGGTTTGAATGGTCATGCACCTAATTATTTTAATCCTTTTAGGATTGGGGGGTGGGGTGACAGATGGCCTCATTAAGCACCTGCCACTGGGTTTTATCTGTGCTGTAACAGTTTGAATCAGGCCAATAAGCCTTGCACTGCAGAAACGAGACACAGGAAAATGGAGCTAACAGACAGTCTTCTAGAGGACTGGCCAGCCTCTCTGGACATTTTTGGGTCAGTTTTGTTGGATGCACTGGGTGTGACCAGAGCAATTGAAGGCTGGGCCGTTTTAGTGAATCTCACTGAACATCTGTGTCTGGATCTGCTGGGCCACATGGACTTGTTGCTGGAGCACCGAGCTGTGTGCATAAACATACTTGGACCCATGTACGCTGACGACCCTTATTTATGGTTGTACCTCCACAACTGAAACGCACTGAAAGCATTCTGTGTCGCTTTCAGTCAGCACTCTATCTGGATATAAGTACAAATGTTTCAGGGAGTAGGGTGGAGGAGAAGAGGAGCACGGGATCAGAAGAAAACATAACTGAAAAAGTGATTTGAGTTTTTCTTTTTCAAGATTCACCAAGTTTAGAGAATAATTGTCTGTGTTGCAAGAATTAAGATTTATGCATTTTTTGCCTGTGTTGCAATTAGAAGTGCATGCAAACCAACACAACTTTAACCAATGGATTTAAAAGGTAGTTTGCAAGGACAGACAGAAATTAATTTATATCATATCAGAATGCATATCTGAAAAAATATGTATGTTGGATTAAAAAATATGAAAAAAAAAGAACGTGCAATTTTGTCTTTCTGTAATAAGAAAGACAAAATTGTGTCTTACTGATTTAGCAAAAGAAAAAGAAGATATCACAAGAAGATATAAAAAGAAGATAAGAAGATGTCCTGTTTTAAAATATTGCTCATTAGTCGTAGTATATCAGAAATATATCATTATAAATTACCTTTTCCTTTCAGGTCCAGCACTTTGCAATTGAATCAAAGCAAAAAAAATAAAGTTCAATCAGCCTGTGGCTGATTTTGTATATGAACCTGTGATAGATTTTGAAGTTCATATGAATTTTATTTTTCATAAATTGTATCACTCTGTTAAATTCAGAATCAGGAGTATAATAATAAGAAGTAGCATCATTTGTTTCTGTTTCATTTGTTATATTTCAGCCTGTCCTTATGTAGCTTTGTGCTATACAGAATATGCATGTCTCTGGAGACAAAAACTGTTTCTGTCTTCTACAGAACACCATTATGTTTCTCTTTCAATGCTGTGCAATCCACACGTCTTTTTATGCTGAATTATGGCCACATTATTCATATGCTTGCTTCTCTGTCCACACTCCAGCCTCTTGACTCTGTTCTGCTCTTTCCTCATCCTATATCTTGTACTAAAAAGTGGGGTGAGTGAGGTTTCCTCATAAGACACTACTGCAAAGATTTTCTGGTTATTTCTGCTATTTGCTTACACAAATATTATGCAAATTGTGTTTAAGTGGCATAAAGATGAAATAAGTTGTTTTTCAGTTAAACTCATGGATGGAATTGTGTCTCAGGACTCTTTGTATCACTGAAATCAACCTTGGACACCTATGATCATTAGTTTGCCCGTTGAGCCCAATTAAAGGAAAAACCACTAAAGAAGGATGTTCCACATTATTAAGCAGACCACTCTCATGTTTTTATTTTTAGAAGTCTCTTTTTTTCTGCAAAATGATAACCAAGTTAGCCTTTTCTGTTGATACAACATACCTCCTTTGGTTGGAACCGGTGCTTAAACAATGGAAAACACAAAC